AGAGTATATAGTTGCAGTACAATATACAAAACTTCGAAAATTCACGTTAGTCCAAAAATATTTCTTTAAATATAACCTAAAAAACTGATGTGAGAAAACGTGGAGAGTGATTTTATTTCAAATATGTTTAGTATTTTTTTAGTGTGAACTGTTATAAAATTTACTCTGCTGCTATTGTAGCTCCACTGAATTTCGACGGATACTTTTTCATACGAAGTTAGCCTCTAGCCTCCATAATTTTTGTAAACATATAGAAAAAACATCGAGAAGTATTATCGAAAAGGAATTTATCAACCCTATTTTATTTAATTGTTTATCAAAAACAGGTAATTCAAAGTCAAACATGTTAAAAATAAATATATTAAAAAGATAAGTGACAGATTTTTGGCCTTTTGGTGCCTTTATGGTGAAATAGTTGAAATTTTTTAATATAAACTGTAAATTCCCTTACTATTGAAATGTTACCATAATTCCCTTCTGGTAACGAATTTTACATTATCACTGTTAATAAAAATACTTTTTGAAGTGAAAACTTCTTTAGAATCGTTGTAACTTTAAACTCGATGAAACGAAAAAGCGTTACTAAAAAGATACCAACATACATCAATAGGATTTAAGCAGCGAGAGAATGATATAGAATACAGTATACAGTGTTTCATATTATCTCGTCTTGTTCTCCTTCTCTGAAGGTTTCACTTCTACCGCGTGTGAACTTCACAAATTTTTTTATTTTATTATATTACTAACATGAATAATATCCGAACTACACAACACACACTCTTTTTATAGTTTAAAACTTTAAAATACTCTCAGACGTTTTGAGCAAACAAACGGCTTTTAGAAATAATGTCAAATTTAGTCCCCAGTCCGCTCAATGGCAGGGCTTAAAACAGGCACAAACTTTTTGTAGGGTGTAGATAGTCCAGTTCACAAGCCAATAAGAAGTGCGTCCAGTTTACTTATGGAGGTCAATGCCCTATGCCACAAACTAATAATAAGTACTATCACAGCTCCATGCAGAAGAACGTAGTGAGTAGAGATTAATACTACTACTATTAAAGTTGTTTAAAACGACTATAAGTCAATAGCACACTACAGACTATAAAGTATAAATTTCTAGCGCGCTATTAAATATGCTAGGTTATAGCGCGCTATTTACGTGTAGGAGGCCGGCAAGCGCGTTAACTTTTGCCGCACGCTATATCTCGTAGCACGTTACATCAACGTAACATTACATATGTTGTTCGTTGGATAGACCGCGTGCTATATAAGAACATTATTTCGTAATAAGTCGCATTTTAGACGAATATAAAATAAAGCGGTAAAGAAAAATCAATGAATGCTCTTTCATACTTTTCAGCCTTACGACTTTCTATAAACCTAAAATATTTGAAGGCATGTACTTTTTAAAACTAAATAAAGTTAATTATTTTTATTATAATTGATGTAAACTTTATTTTAAACTTAATATAAATTATAAATCAATCAATTAAAGGTATATTTAAAAGTTTATTGATTGTATATATAAAAATTAACTATTTACATACACTACAATTTTGTATCTATATTTTATTTACATTTACTTTTGTAGCTGACAACTGTGTCCTTCGATCACTTATAAATATACAGTTTACACTAACTAAACAACTTCTAACACTAAATTAGGTAGAGAGCGATGAATAGCGTGCTACTATAATTCGTGCCAAATCGATTGAGAAAAACGGACATTGACCTTTTGGTCGTTTAACCAGGGGCTATAAACCTTCAATATATAGGCACTTTTTATATGTAGTACTTTCTTAATTTATAATGATTTTTTTATAATTATTGATATAATATATATATATATACATATATATAATAATAGTTATATATATATACCTATATATATATATATATATATATATATATATATATATATATATATATATATATATATATATTAACTATTATTAAAAAGTTATGTAAAAGATCGCTGTAGAAGAAAAATCATCTATTGTTATAAAGTACTTTATTCATTTAACAACAAAAAGCATTAATTTATAACACATATAAAGATTCGAGTGATAACGACACCGAATAAGTACGTATTTATTCAAAAGATAAAACTTTATTTTCAATATTGTAATTATAAGAACTTTATTGAAGTGAAAACTTCTTTAGCGGCGTTGTACACTTTTTTTTGTAATGGGTAAAAAATGTTAAACTCGCGTCAGGACACCTGACCTGATCGAAAATGCGTAAGATGGACGGCGTAGGAGAGGAAGTACCCCCCTCTCTTTCTACGGTGCGGCGAAAATGTATGCCTGCGCCTGCTGTTTCGTTTAGGCGGTGCAGGGCGCTTGCGCGAATATAATATAAATTGTCATGTTTGTGTACTACAGCGCAATAAATAAATATTGTATTCTATCACATAAATGATAGTACTTTTATACTGATAATTAAAGCAATTCGTGCAAAATTATTCCCTAACCATTCCAAAATATCAAAAATGCACAACGTTAATATTCAATTTTTCACTTCTGCTGGCACTCCCGGAGTGCAACCCGTAGTTTTTTTTATTCGGTGCATGCGGGCTGGCCGAAAAAAAGTCACGCATCTCTGGGTGTCATTTTCACGTACCTTTTAGAACGAACAAGACCCACCGCAGAAGAACACAAAAACTCTCCAATCACACTCTTAATTTCATGGCTGTTAGACGGGAGATGAGACTGCAATCGTAGATTTGACAGCATACAGGCAACTGAACAGACAGATCTCCAAATGCATACGGCGAGACTTACGCAACTTTAATACTGCTCGTATTAAAGAAGTGATCGAGCGGAACCAGGGCTCCAATGTCTTTGCCAGAGATCTGTCTGCCAGAAAGAGCCAACTGTCAAAGCTGAAAACTGAGTGTGGCAGCATCGTTTTCGGGATACCTGAGATTTTGAATGAGATTGAAAGGTTCTATGGGCAGCTGTACATATCATCGTTGGAACTACACGCAAGTGTGAGTAACGATACAAGAGCAAGTTTTATCTGACACTATTCCGATGATATCCCAGACGTCAGTCTGAGCGAGATTAGAATGGCTCTCCAGATCCTTAAAAACGGCAGGGCCCCAGACGAGGATGGAATGACAGCGGTGCTTCTGAAAGCGGGTGGGAACTACAGACCGATTTTCCTTCTGAGCCGCGTCTACGTGCTGTTTTCGAGAGTTATTACGAATCGTCTCGCACGCAGACTCGACTACTTCCAGCCTCCCGAACAAGCCGGTTTCCGAAAAGGCTTCAGTACTACAGACCACATACATACCCTGCGGCAGATTGTACAGAAGACCGAAGAGTACAATCTGCCCCCCCCCCCGCGGCGAAATTTTTTCAGTACTTTTTAGGGTGTTATTACAACCGCTACAAATATTATTACTCATTTTATTTACCTTTAGATGCAAAAATGTTTGAAAATCTTCAGTACGTTTAAACGCAGCACAATAATGGTCGAGTAGCCGGTCAGCGACTCAACGCGGCACGGTGACGAGTTGTATGCGCGATGTCTCCGAATGAGCCGATGACTCACCCACCAGTCGCCGAGTGAAGCAATGCAGCGAGCAGCGAGTGTTAAAATGTTCGTTAAAAAAAATTCAAAATGTTTTCGATTATAACTCCATATCCCTCTTGTTTATCACGATACGGTTTTCACTTTTTTGTTCGTAGATGTGTAGGCTACAAAAGTATAATAAATAAAGCACCAGATATTAGGAGTTTACTATGGTAGGGAAAATAATTTCACGGAGCAAAACAACACACGTCTTTCTGTCTTCGCGTTAAACAGACCATCAGATGATTTAGCACGAACTGACGTAACGCGCCTTTGCTTTATTTTATAGGAATGAATTTGCAAAAGCTCAATATGGTGATTATATTGCTTCAAATATTTGTTTAAATATGAAACTGTTATTAAATGGATTGCTGCGTTACTTACCATAAATTGAAATATAAGATATAACACATTTTTCGCGATGTACCGTAAGATTTTACGATGTTTGTAGTAACCACAAACAATATTATTTAAGAAAAAAAACAAAACATATGTTTTTTCTGACCTAGGAGTATGAAAAATATCAATATTTAAATATTGTTATCACATCTAAATTGAGATTTTGTAAGTTACGCCCTTTGACACTCGGCTCATATCTGAGGTCATCGTCCGTTTTTCTCAATCGATTTTGCACAAACTATAGATCAAATTTGCGTCACACGTCCACTCCCAACAGCGTGCTGCTAGATTGCCGCTGGATATTAATACAATAGCGCCAAAGCGCCATAGCGCCATGGTGACTATTTACATAGCACGCGCTATGCGCTATAGAGAGATAGCGCGATATAATATTGTTACTACTATATTAATACTATGTTACTACTATATTAACCACTATATACTTATCGTAGAGGTTATAGAACAGGAGAACGATCGCTACGTACTAAAGCATAGCCCACCTGTCCTTGAAAATTTGTGGAATTTATAGCGGCGCTGCCGTCGGTGAGTTGTGGCTGTGAAGTTAGCTGTTTATGAGTACAAGTAGATGAAGTTAGTTGAATAACGTACAAAATTTCTTCGCGGCATTCGTGAGAAAATTTTCGTGCTCCATAATTTTTTAATTTTTGACAAAAAGAAACATTAAAAAATGGAGAAATATTTTATTGTGAGTGGATGTGCAAGTGGTTTAGCATCTGATCGGAAAAATAGACTGAAAATGACTTTTATTGTGTGCACTTAGCGATCGCAGCGCCTCACTTATGGTGTCCATATTTATGGGACACTATTTTCTACGGCGATCGTTCTCCTGTTCTCTAACCTCCATGATACTTATACTCTTTGGCAGAAAATTTGAAATGATGATTTTTGACAAATATCAATTGATACCATCATTGCAACAAAAATAACGGACAAAAGTTTGAAACTATGATAAATAAATGCAAATTGTTCACAAATAATACTAGTTTGTGATAAAACTAAAGATGACTATCGAGAAATCCGAAAAGGCTAATGACTTTGTTGCGAAATTGAAAGCTGACGGTTCTGAAAAGGACTTCTATGATTTGGGAAAAGTTTACAAGGATTACAAAAATATTTTAACTGATTTACCTGCAAAAGACAAAGGAACCTTCTCGCTTAATGTGTTATGTATACTCTGCAGGTGAGTAAATATTTGATATTTCCTTATTTATAAAGAAGTTGAATTGATTTAGGTTTTACTTTTTACGTGGTAGAGCCACGCTGCACAGAAACGCAATATAACACCGCACAACAAAACACGCTGCAGAATACCTACGTAAAATAGCAGCTCAATGCTACTGTGTTTCGTATAGTTAGTGTAGGGAACCGGAAACCCTTTTTACTGGAAACAAGGCATTCCATCTTATCCTCATTGATGTTTATGAGCCACAGCTTCAACATTACAATACATTACTATTTATAATAAAACTGTTCTTGTGTATATTTTTGTTAATATACTAAACTACATTAAATCTTATATATTATATTCAAATTAATAAGTCATATATACAATCATAATATAATAAAGAAACCAATAGTAAATTGGCAACCATCCACTTGATTAAATACAAATGATATGTCTCACCTGGATTGAAGAGCACCTCCTGCCCTCTCTCAATTGCGTGCAACAATCCTGTCACCTCTAATCCCAGCACCATGTTGTATTATTGTCGATGGTGTGTGTTTCCTGGAATAGTAGTGTTGGGAGTAGTGCTGCGGGGAGTAGTGGTGCTGGGATTAATGGTGAAGGGATTAGTGCACGCAATTGAGGAAGGGCGGGAGGTGCTCTTCAACCCAGGTAAGACATATCATTGTATTTAATCAAGTGGATGGTTGCAAATTAACTATTGGTATCTTTAATATAATGGATTTCCGCAAAGTAATGCCTGATTCTATCAATAATCATAATACAATTTTCAGAAATTTAGATAAAGTTCCAGTATGGCGTGACAAAATATCCAACAAGGAGCTGCTAGAGTTATGTATAGATTGCTTGAGACAAACGAGAGCCCTAAACAAACCTGAACAAGTGAAGACACTAGCATGTGTGTATCACATTCACAGGCATATTATTCGACAGGTTGGTATTCCTTAATATATTTTCTTTTAAACCCCCAACTAAAACAGAGGGAATGTAAGAAATATGTTAAAATCCATCAAGCTGTTTTAAGCTACAGTGTGTCTAAGAAATAGACATACATACATAGAATCTAAAAACATTACCCTCATTCTGGAGCAGTCAGTTAAAATTAAAAAGCAATTTTGTTTTATTTTGGACCTTGATGAAAATAGAGGAGTGTTATATATTTGTAGTGTGTAACTGTTCAGCAGTTTAAAGATCATCATTTGTTTTTGTTTTGGGGTTTTTGAATTTTTTAAGTTATTAATATCTGACAAATTAGCTGACAATCTCCTTAACGGTAAGTTGCCACTAAACTTGACATGGGCGGTAGAGTCAATTTTAAACAAAGAAAGCTGTACATATGTGTTACCCATGCCCTAAGATAAAAATGTCTCATAGACTTCAACTTTCTGTTGACTACCCATCTAAGCTATATAAGATATATGTAGCTATGGTACTTTGCAGCATAAATAAGTGTTCCTACTTTGTTGAACTTGCACAATGGAATGGTAGCTGTACTGAACACATTTATTTATTTGTTTAGGTACACAATATAGAATAACACCAAAACATGAACAATTGAACATAATAAATGCAAAGTCAAAATCTAGATGGTATTACAAAACATGTGCACACAACATAACATTAGGTAACAGTAACGAGTTTACAGTGCAAATACTTACAAACATACTATACTTATAAACTTATGTTATTAAAAATTTAGAAAAATGAAATCTTTATTAAAATAATGTTCATTTACCTTTTTAAATTAAATTAAACTTTTACTCTTAAAATGTGTCCCTTTTGTTTTTTGTTTTTGTTCTTGTGGTTTTTCTTTCTGTGCTTTATTATTGTGCTTCAGTTTCTGGTAACTCACCATCATGTTCAAAATGCGGCTAATTTGCAGCGGGAGTTTTGGATTTTGGCTGGCCGACGCACCGTTCGACGCGTCATTTTTAAGTGCTACCTAGATATAAATTGAAGGCCACCATATCGCAGCCGATGATAGGTGACTTACCACCCGACCGCGTCAGGGCCATGCGACCATTCACTGGAGTCGGAACCGACTGCTGGCCCCTTCCTCGTCAAGTCCCCCAGCCTTCGTAACGCGCGTTCACATAAGGCCTATCTGTGCGTTTTTGTGTGCCTCGCCACTAGGAACGTTCACTTAGAACTTGTAAGTGCCCTCAGCACTGAAGCCTTTGTGGCCACGCTGGGCTGCTTTGTATCGCGTCGCGGTTTGCCGGACCGGATCCGGTCGGATTGCGGAACGAATTGTACGGGCACAGATAGATATTTGAAGGAGGTCGTCGAATTTCTGTCCAGCAACAGGACTTATTTAGGTACTGCGATGTACGGGAAGGGCATCCAGGGGAAATTCGACTCTCCGGCTTGCCCACGCTGGGGCGGTGATTTTGAGGCGGTGGTTGGGGTCGCAAGAGCGCATCTCCGTTACGTAAGTGGCCGAGGTTTTGGTTGGAGATTCGGTCTTGCAACGTGCCATCGCGACCCTATCCCGGTTGCCAATTTACTCGCGGACATAGGTCCTTATGTCCGGGACGGGGGTTTGTTTACTCTCGATTGTAGCTACAAATTGCGGGACTGCGTCGAGCGGGGTGAGGAAACGGTTAGCGTTGCGCGGGAGGCGGGGGTTTGCTGTGTCGTACGCGCACAGCAAGCGGCCCAGTCTGTAAGAATCGTTGAGCGCTGCGGCCGTGCCGGGTTACTTAAGAATTGCAGCGGCCTCCTTGTGTTATCTTATATTGTACGTCTCCGTGATAACGAGGCTTATTCTTGAGTTTATATGCGCGATTCCCGGGTCGATTATACGTCGAGAGCCTCTTACAGTGTTATCTTAATTTGTTTTTCGTGATAACGAGGCCATATTATATAATTATTGTTGTAGCAGTTTGAGTATTGTTTGCGACCGTTAGACGGTTGGGCGCGGCTGGTGTTGACTTGAAAGGCCTAAAGCTTGTGTAAATTGTGCGCGCCATTATGAATTACTATTGAACATTTGGGTCTAATGACCGCCTCGAATTTAGTTGTCTGTTTTGAACGTGTTACGTGACAAGAGATCTACTTGGAGTTTAGTGATTAAAGGAACCTTTATGCCGTTAATTGCAACGACGAGTTATTAGTGCGTCGTTTGATAGCGTGATAAGACTTTTAATTTGTCGAGAGAACGCTGGACTTGGGTTCCGATAGCCGTGAGCGTCTTGTGGAACGGTCGGCGCACGTGGTGTTGCTATCTGATCGTATTGGTGACGTCAGGTTACACTTTACACTTTCCTACACTACACACCCTCTACCATTTACTTGCCCCTGACGCCACCTTGTGGTAGACCCTACACTTCTGGAATTCGGTAAGTATTGTGTTTGCGTATCTACCGTTATAATTTAATTATCCATAGGTCATTGGACCCTCCACTCTGTTACTCGTCGAATTGGGCTACCGTGGGCCCTAGCTCAATCGACCTTTGTCGGGGTAACTCAGGGCCGTAACATTTATTTATTACAAATTCTAAATAATGAATGCCTTATTTACAAAGTATATCTAATATGGATTTTTTGAAATTGTTTACTTTGTTATTAAAAATGGTTATATTTTTACTATTATTAATCAATAAATCATTGTATAGGCGACACATTCTTACTAGAGGATTGTAATAGGACGTAGTATTTGTTTAGGAAAGTATACCATTTATGCGGGATAAGAGTAACTGCCAAAGACCTTGTGAAATTATGTGCTTATTCTTATTTGTGTGTTATTCTTATTTGTATATTTATTTTGTGAAGGGCCGTGGTAGCTCAGATGGTTAACGCTCGCTGTAAATAAAACAGAACGCGAGTAACCTGGGTTCGATCCCCGCTGGCACCAATGAAATTGTTAATTGCAATTTTAAGTGCTAATTTTCCACGTGCTCGGCGGTGAAGGAAAACATCGAGAGTAAACCTGCATGTCTGAGGAATAAGAAAAAAAAAACATTTTGAAGACATGTGAAGTTCTCCAGCACGCATTGGGGCAGTGCGGCGGACACTTCCTTGCCCTAAAACCCTCTCAGAAATGAGGGGAGGCCTGTGCCCAGCAATGGGACGTATATAGACTGTAACTTTACTTTTACTTTTTCTTATTTGTGATTGTTGCCCAAAACCTGATTTTGTAAAACTAGTAAAGCCATAGATACGGATCCTACAGCAAGCTGTCTAGAATTCTCAGTTCATAATTCTGTATTCTCTGTTTACTGTTATCTATGTGATGCATTAGATCTTTACACAATAGCATTTAGACTGTGACAATCAAAGAGCAATAGAGGATACATCTGTATATAGATATATTTGATAGTCCAAAAACATTTACTTTAGACTCACAACTTTTTAATTCCTGATTACTGGAACGCAAGCCTTCTAAGCTTTAGATTTACAAGTCCACTGAGTATAGGCCTCCCCCATAGATTGCCTCATAGTGCCACAATTGGCAAGCGGGTTGGCAACTGAACGTTTTTATTTTTTGCCATTATTAGGAAAATGCTGCTGCTGCCCAATTCCAGATTTGTTAACCTCTGTCGCTTCCTATGACACCTGTATGATATGGGGTAGTAGACATTTTTACATTTCCACATGGTATTGTAAGCAGTGCCTGATTTTATAGTTACATACAAGTTACCTCAATTTTTATAGTGGAGGTTTTTTCTCTTCTGGGAATCTTTGACTCGGATGCGGTCCTTACTGGCCTTATATAAGGCCTCTTCTACCGAAACATCTAAAATGTTCGAGTACATACCCGATCCCGAGTGACTAGGTGTAGAAAGTTCTAGTATGGAATTTTCTAGAAAGATCTTGACGCTCCCAGTTCTGCTACTCGGTATTAGATGGCGGTAGTGGTTACTCGCCATGTCATCATCATCATCATCATTACAGCCCTTCAGAAGTCCACTGCTGAACATAGGCCTCCCCCAAGTAATGCCACAAAGCACGGTCCTGAGCCACCTGCATCCATCGACTTCCTGCATGTCTTACCAGGTCGTCACTCCATCTAGTGGGGGGTCGCCCTACACTACGCCTACCGGTACGAGGCTGCCACTCGAGAACCTTTCTAGCCCATCGATTATCGGTTCTTCGAGCTATATGGCCGGCCCATTGCCACTTCAGCTTACTAATCCGTTGGGCTATGTCGGTCACTCTGGTTTTACTGCGGATATCCTCATTTCTGAGTCTATCACGCAGAGAAACTCCGAGCATAGCCCTCTCCATAGCTCGCTGAGCGACCTTGAGCGTCCTCATACGGCCAGCAGTGAAGGACCACGTCTCTGATCCGTAAGTCATCACTGGCAACACGCACTGGTTGTACACTTTAGTTTTCAGAGATTGAGGTATACCTGACGAGAAGATGTGTCGTAATTTCCCGAACGCTGCCCAGCCGAGTTGAATCCGTCGATTGACCTCTTGGTCGAAGTTGGACTTACCTAGTCGGACTATTTGTCCCAGGTAAACGTACTTTTCAACAACTTCGGGCATAGTGCTCCCAACAACTACCGGCATAGGTGTGACATGGACATTGAACATAATCTTTGTTTTGTCCATGTTCATCTTAAGACCTATCCGTTGGGAGACACCATTGAGGTCATTGAGCATAGTGCTAAGGTCCTCCAGCGATTCTGCCATAAGGACTATATCGTCGGCAAATCGAAGGTGAGTGATGTACTCGCCATTGATGTTAATACCGTATCCTTTCCAGTCCAGTAGCTTGAAAACGTCTTCCAACGCAGCGGTGAAGTGTTTCGGGGATATAACGTCACCCTGTCTTACACCTCTCTGCAGTTGGATAGGTTTCGAACTCTGGTTCTGTACTCGGATAGCCATCGTAGCCCTACTGTACAAACACTTCAGCACCTCGATATACCGACAGTCAACTTGGCACCGCTGAAGGGACTGTAGCACCGCCCAAATTTCGACGGAATTAAAGGCTTTCTCATAGTCCACATACGCCAGACAAAGTGGCAGATTGTACTCTTCGGTCTTCTGTACAATCTGACGCAGGGTATGTATGTGGTCTATGGTACTGAAGCCTTTTCGGAAACCAGCTTGTTCGGGAGGCTGGAAGTCGTCGAGTCTGCGTACGAGACGATTCGTAATGACTCTCGAAAACAGCACGTAGACGCGGCTCAGAAGGGAAATCGGTCTGTAGTTCTTCAAGAGAGCGTTGTCGCCTTTCTTAAAGAACAAGACCACCGCACTTCTGCTCCACGCCTCCGGAGTAGTGCCACCATGGAGGACGGAATTGAAGAGCTTCTGAAGGACTTCAAGTACCGGTGTTCCACCCGCTTTCAGAAGCTCCGCTATAATTCCATCCTCGCCTGGGGCCCTGCCGTTTTTAAGGTGCTGGAGAGTCATTCTAATCTCGCTCAGACTGACGTCCGGGATATCATCGGAATAGTGTCGGGTAAGACTTGCTCTTGTATCATTACTCACACTTGCGTGTGGCTCCAACGATGATGTGTACAGCTGCCCATAGAACCTCTCAATCTCACTCAAAATCTCAGGTGTCCCGGAAACGATGCTGCCACACTCAGTCTTCAGCTTTGACAGTTGTTGGCTCTTTCTGGCAGACAGATCTCTGGCAAAGACTTTGGAGCCCTGGTTCCGCTCGATCGCTTCTTTAATAGGAGCAGTATTAAAGTTGCGTAAGTCTTGCCGCATGCATTTGGAGATCTGTCTGTTCACTTGCCTGTATGCTGTCAAATCTGTTGACGATTGCAGCCTCATCTCCCGTCTAACAGCCATGAGATTAAGAGTGTGATCGGAGAGTTTTTGTGTTCTTCTGCGGCGGGTCTTGCAGAACTTAGCTCCGACCGCATGGACAGTTTCCACGAGCTTGTCATTCATATCGTCCACTGCATTGCAATCTTCTAGGCACTGAAAGTGGTTACGTAACTCGAGCTGAAAAGTCTCCGGATTCTGGATTAGAGCACGAGGGGGACGGAGCGTTGACTTCATTAGACGAGACCTCTCCAACTTAACGTTTAGGTTCAGTGTGCCTCTAACCATACGGTGATCGCTGCCGGTTTTCACCCTTGCGATCACTGAGACATCACTGAACAGTTGGCATCTGGTCGTCATAATGAATTCAATCTCATTTTTTGTCGAACCGTCGGGGCTCGACCAGGTCCACTTCCTGTGCGGCCGCTTCTGGAAGAAAGAGTCATTTCTCCATAAAGTCAGCCAGCTGCTGGCCCCTACGGTTCCGTTGCCCTACTCCAAATTTCCCTAAGTTCAGCTCACCGCCTTCTCTTGTGCCTAGTTTTGCGTTGAAGTCTCCCATCAGCACCGTGTAGTGGGTTTTGGAGGAATGCATGGCTCTAGAAATATCCTCATTCCTCCACCTCCTCATCGGGATGTGCCGAGGTTGGTGCGTAGACCTGTATGACCTTCAGCGCATACTGTTTGGTGATTCTGAGTATCAGGTACGCGACCCTCTCGACACACTCCCAATCTTGACAACGTTGTTGACGAGGGACTTGTGGACGATAAATCCGACACCTCCTTGGGACAGATGGTCGCCCTCCCGGTGATAGAACAAGTTGCCGGACTCGAGGATTACCGTGTCCTCCCCCTCTCTTCGGATCTCAGATAATCCAATAATATGCCAGCGCAACTTGTTTACCTCTTCTTCCAGCTCCAGTATCTTCTCGTCAGTCCTCAGGGTGCGTGCGTTATACGTTGCCAGGTCGAGTCGTCGTAGGTGGCAACCGAACCTCCACCGGAGATTCTTAGCACCCCCTGCCCCGCCGTTACCATGGTCGCCACCGTAGCCAGGAATAGCGGGGCCGCCGGGGACTGGGGGCCGTTTATTTGTGTCGTTGTTCATGGGGGGATATTTGCCATAGTTGCCATGCTTGGGGGCGGGTTGGCAACCGCAGATTTGAGTTGTCATCAGGAAGACGCTGCTGCCTATCACCTGTTTAAATTTCCCTCTGTTGCCTCTTAAGACACCCACGAGACGATATGGGGTAGTGGATATTCTTACACTGCCACTACTCAGTAATAAAACATATAAAAACACTCACGCCTGTCACACAGAGGGTAAGGCAGAGACTACGGACTTCCATTTGACATGATCCTGAAACTCCTCTCTCGCCTACATTACATCCATATATCTACGCAGACAAGCGGACGGATGAGTCGCTCGCGTCCGTGGGTTTCGACCACCTAACCCTAGGCCCACCCTACACGTGTCCCCCGGGTGGTGCTAAACGAGCGACAAAGCCGTAAGAATAGACTCAGCCTTCGCCGTATGATAGCGGCGTAAAATCTACCACCCTCCCTACTTTCGCACCATGAGGCACAAAAAATAAGTTCAGTAATAAAAGTAATTTGGTAATGTAATTTATTTCACAGAATACGTCAATACCTCCTGAGCTTATGCTGAAGCTATCATATATGCCGTTTGAAGTCAGCGGTGATTGTCTCCTGAAAGAATACTGCAAAACTTATTGGAGCATACTTGCAGACCGTTTTGTGTACATAGAGAAATTGAAATCCAGCCGGCTGGCTATAGTTAAACTATTACCAAAGTTGACCGAAGATATTGCAACTATCATTAGTTTGTATGACCCTGTTCAATTCTGTGCAAACGTTTTACCATTTGTTATCAAAAAATTGCATACACTTTACAGTGATAATTGTTTCAAGGAAGTAAGAGAGACTTATAATAATATTTTAGGGTGTATTGCTTCCAAAAATAACCTGAAATCATTCAAAAATGCAACGGAAAAAGAAACATTGGATTTGTATATAAAATTTAATGAATGTTTATATGTTATAGTTGAGAATGATTCGAGATCACATTTTAAGGATTCTAAAATTTATTGTGTCATGAGGACTATGATGTATATGTTCGAGCACAACTCCGACATATTCCACTGCTTTCAAACGATCTATTTAAATTGCTTTTGTTGCTTGTTCGATGATAAAGTGAACTCATCCTATATGGAAACAGCGTTACAAAGTCTTCAACTATCCTGCGAGACTACAGAAAAACTGGGATATCAAAAAGCGATGTATGCTACATATCCCTTTGTCGCACAACTTTTAAGACTTTTTATAGAATATTTTGTAACTAACTGCGATACCAAAAAATGGGATGATAATTTTGATGTACAATTGCAAGAGCATTGCTTGAAACTGATTTTATTTTTGGTAAAAAAACTAAGTAAAACCCAGCAGCTTGCTAAATGCGAGAACTGTACTGCAAAAACTGGCTTACATGATGCACTGCGCCTGACATTCCTTGTCAGACACTTCGTAATTATATCCATAAATCAGCAATTAAATATTACACATATTCTACCATCCTTTTATGAAGTGGTCAAGTTACAGTATATCATTTTAACGGAACTGAACAAGCTTGGTTGTTCGAACCAGATGAAATGCCTCAAGAAGTTACAAACCGACATACATAACACGGCAATCACATTAAATAAGGCCCAATACTATGAGTTCTCTATAAAATTATTTGATCTGTACCTCAAATATGAAATATGCTATATGGAAAATGACTCCGAATTCAAAAATATTGCCAGGGCTCTATACAATAAAAGTATCAGTGAACTCGATTGTAAATTATATGAAAATGGAATAAGGAGCGCTTACTTGAGTTTAGTTTTCTCTGAAACGGACGGGTTGACGTCTGAAAAGTATATGAGCTTGGTGATGGATATTAAAGCTAAAGCATTGAAGAAGTGCGAAGAAGAGAGTGGAACAGAAGGTAATCAAGAAGACTTGCAGACAATGACGGTTTTAAGAGCATGTCAGTCATTAGAGGAAAATAATGATTATGGCAATTTGAAGCCATTCTTATCTACATTAAAATTTAGGTAAGTTATATTTTATAAGTGTTTATGAAATATTGAATTTGATGTTCTTTTTTATAGAAGAGTGACAAACAAACACACAGTCTACCTGATGAGAAATGAATGCTATGGACCATAGTCACCGAATGTAGATGCTTTGCCACTCCAGAGGACTAACATAAAATGCCAAGTCTTCGGTAAAAAAGAACTCCAGTTCCCTACATTCACCATACTAAACACTGTAGCATCAGGCTGTTATTTCATGCTAGTTTTCTGTGAAAGTATGGTCTTTCCCTGGTTGAGTCGATGTTTCATGCTACAAACATATCTGCAGCTGTTGTAACTGCTTAAAGAGTTGTCAAAACAAACATTTCTATAGCCCGTGCTATGCTAAATTCAGTCAGTCGAAACTTTTTATTCAAGTTACTTGTTTTAAGCTTTTTTTATATAGGATAGGGTGACAAACGAGCACACAGTCCACGTGATGGTATGTGGTTACTGCGGCCCATAGACATCTACATCTATCCTCCATTACAAATCAATATGTAGATGCATTGTCACCCATGAGGACTAAGATGGAATACCTCGTAAAAAGTAAAAAGGTAAGTAGTAAAGGTAACCAGTAAAAAGGGTCTCTGGTTCTCTACACTCCCATACGAAACACAGCATCTTAACAACTCTTATCTTAACAACAAGCTCTTAGGAATGTCAGAATATACACTGGTTTGCAAATACAAAACCACAGAGAAGAACTAGCAAGTAAATCTGGGGTTGTTTTTTTTAAACTTTGTTGCAACTTCATTTACAACTACAACTTATGATAATTTTTTTAATAGAATTAGAGTGATAAATGAGCCCACAGTCTAGTTATGTGTCAATCATGAATGATTCATTCCATTGACCTGGGTCGCATCACAGTATTGATGATTGCGGTTACATTTTTTTAATGTTCCTGATCAATCGATTGTCAGGAACTACGATCACAGAGTATAGTAATGTCCGTCATTATTGAGCGGGTCTCGCAGATCACAGAGTACTGAAACTCGAAACAATTTATTTGAATGATCAACTCGAATGACCCAGTTCGTAAAAGACGAATCGATACTTCAATGATCGGGTCACTAGAAATTAATGAACAACACATTTATAACACAGTCAACCTGATGGTAAGTGGATTCTGTGGCCCATATATATCTACATTTATCGTTAAGACATGGTCTAAGCACGATTACAAATTCGTTTTTCACCCGCGCGTCCCACAGTGGGCGGAACGTAACCGCCAGTCAGAGAGCGTAGCGTTAACACAGTATGCGCAAAGCAAGCAGACAATTCACCTCTAAAAAAAACTTTCGTGAGGTCCCCTGTTCGCAAAACTACTAGGTAGTAATAATATTTTGACTATATACTCACTCACAATGCATCTACATTTTATCAAAACTGTTTACGAGGTCTGGACATCAGACTACATTTTAATTATAATTTTTTTAAAGTCAGTTTTATGATATAAGCAGGTACTTAATCAACTATTTACATACATATACATTTAAAACGCCAACTTAAAAATACTAGTAAAACCCAAGTTTCGTTGGCAAAATAGCTAAAATAACAGAATAAGGATAGTTTGCAATAAAACCAATAGAAATTCATATTTATTTAACTGTTGTATTACACATCAACTCAACATTCAATAAACAACCTTACACGTAATATTGCTTAAAAAACCGGCCGGAGTAATTTAAAATACCGGTCAAGTATGCGTCGGACTCGAACGTGAAAGGTTCCGCCACAGAGTAAGGAGTAAGGACCTGAGGGGAAGCTTCCTAACAGCGTCGAAAATGTATAAATATTTTGATAGGACCTGATGAATGTGAAAAATTTAAGGAAAAACAATACTACATTGTATAAAGCAACACGTGATTTCATTGTAACTTAAATTAATATAACAACATGTCTATTTATTGTAACTTTAATTGAAACTGCAAAAATTGTATATTTTGATAATTTTCATTGTATTATGTCTTCTCAAGCGTTGGCGGCATCGGACATCTGTATCTACCACTGCGTTACAGCGTATAAGAATAGAGAAGTTACAAGATGAAGATGTGATAGAGAAGTATAAATGTAGACTGAGAGAAAATATTAGGTGTTTGAATGAGTTGTGTATGAATGATTTAGACTTGAATACTGTGTGGGATAATATTAAGAAAGGTTTGGTGGATACCGCCACCGAAGTATGCGGTGTAAGTAAGAGAACAAATGAAAGGAAAAGTAATACGTTATGGTGGGATGATGAGGTACGGGTGGAAGTTGAATCAAAGAAGAAAGCATGGTTAGATTTACTAGCAACCAAAGCTGATAATTCTTCTGGTATGAATGATGAGATTGAAAGAAAAAAGGCAGAATTTAGACGTCTAAATAAGAGAGTAAAAGAAGTTGTTGAAAGGAAAAAGAAAGAAAGAACGGATAAGAATGATAGAAGGATATCTGATAATTTCCAGGCTAACATAAAAATGTTCTGGAAACTCGTAAGAACTGCCAGGGGAAATACAAAACAGCCTATAATAAACGCTATAAGAGACGAGAATGGATGTATTCTGAATGATGAAGTTTCGAATTTAAACAGATGGAAGGAATACTTTGAAAGCGTGTTTATGAGTGAAGAGTCGTATGAATTAAATGAACTAGAAATCCCGAAAGAAGTGGAAAGGGGTATGGAGATAAGTGTAGATGAAATAATGAAAGCAATGAAAAGCATGAAAGCAGGTAAGGCAGCTGGATATGATAGAGTATCACTCGAGATGCTAAGGGCTGGAGAGGGAGTGGTGGCAGGCCTGCTGTACACCTTGTTTAATTTATGTTGGGAATTAAAACGGGTACCGGATGACTGGTGTAAAGCAGTTATAGTACCAATATATAAAGGAAAAGGGTCACAGCAGGACTGCAAAAACTACCGCGGTATCAGCTTGCTTAGTATTGTGGGTAAACTGTATGCTAAGGTGTTAATTGAAAGAGTTATGAAAGAAACTGATGGAAAAATTTGGGATGTGCAAGCGGGTTTTAGAAAGGGAATGGGGTGTACAGATCAAGTCTTTTCCATGCGCACGATTGCGGAAAAGTTTTTGGCCAAAAACCAGAAAGTTTTTTGTGCGTTCATGGACTTGGAAAAGGCTTATGACAGAGTGGACAGGAATGTGTTATGGCAAACAATGAACTCATATGGGTTGAGCGCTGGTTTGATACAGGCATTAAGGTCGCTTTATAGGGACTCTAGTGCTTGTGTCAGGATCAATGGGGTCTACTCGGACTGGTTTGGCATCCAAAAAGGTGTCAGACAGGGCTGTGGGGCTTCCCCTTGGCTGTTCAACCTATTTATGGATCGGTGTTTGCAAACTTTGAAAGATGAAGAATGTGGTTTAAGAATGGGCGAGTTAACCGTCAAATGCCTTTTGTATGCCGATGATCAAGTCATACTTGCGTCATCGGCGGCAGAGTTGCAAATGATGGTTACATTAATGAACTGGGAATTAAAAGAAAGGGGAATGAAAGTGAACGCAAGTAAGACGAAAGTGATGGTTTTTGAAAGAGAAGAAAGCAAAACGGTATGTGAAATAAGAATAGAAGGAGAGTTGATTGAGCAAGTGGATGAGTTTGTGTATTTGGGATGTGTATTTAGCAGGGATGGTAGATATGATAGGGATATAGAACGACGAGTAAATGTAGGGAATAGAGTGAATGGGGCACTACACTCTATTATGAAGAACCAGAATTTGTCAAAACAGGCACGTATGGTAATTCATAATGCTGTGTTAGTCCCTACTTTAATGTATGGTAGTGAAAGCTGGGTGTGGCAGAAGAAGCACGAAAGTAGAATAAATGCTGTAGAAATGCGGTCTTTAAGGAATATGCTAGGGTGTAATCTGAATGATAGGCTGAGAAATTGCGTGATAAGAGATAAATGTGGTATGCAAAATGATGTTGTGACCAGGATTAAGAAAGGAATGCTTCGGTGGTTTGGTCACGTAGAAAGAATGAATGAGGAAAGAGTGACAAAGCAAATTTATATGGCAGATGTGAATGGCCGAGTCGGGAAGGGACGCCCTAGGAAAAAGTTTATCGACCAAATTGGCGATATTTTGAAAATGGGCCACGTTAGAAGTACCCTTAACCGACGAGCATGTATGCGTAGATATATGGATGTAAAGGAGGCGAAAGAGGTATGTCAGGATCGTGCCAAATGGAAGTCCGTAGTCTCTGCCTACCCCTCTGGGTGACAGGCGTGAGTGTTTATGTATGTATTATGTATTATGTCTTATGGAATCTTGCTGTAGGGTAAAGCGGCAAATATTGAGAAAAACGGGAAATTTACAATTGAAAACTACGCGAATCCCTTCGAGAGAATTTTAAGGAAATAGGTATTCTCACAGAAGCTTCATATTTCATATTATATTATATATATTTCTATCAATATCATTTTCGTTATTCAACGTATTCATGAGTACAAAAAATCAGGTGGTGGTATTAATGGCTGTGATTGTGGAAGTGGGCGATGGCGGTGGTGTTGATGGTGGTAGTGGTGGTGGTAATGACTGTGGTGTTGGTGCTGGTCATGGTGGTGGAATTAGTGGCGGCGGTGTTGGTGGTGGTCTACTACCCAACACCAGTACCAATGATGCTACAAGCACCATCACCATCACCAGCACAACTACAACCAATACCAGTACTACTCTATCACTACGCTACTACACTACTACCAACACCACCTCCACCACTGTCTGGCAATTGTATTATTTTCTCTCGAAGTTTTATACATATTGTACAAGTGTTAGGCATTAATTTCTACAGAACACTAATTAATTACTTATATAAATCTGTAATGTCTTATTTTATAATGGCCCGGCCACACTAAGGAGAAATGCCGTTAATTATCGCGTTGATGGACATTGAATGTAGGTGTGGCCACGAATTAACGCGATAATTTGACAACGGCATTAACAATGCCGTTTCCGGTTTGGTGATAACTCCAG